TATCTTGTAATAAAACCTTGCTGTTGGTGAGCCTGCCAAAGAATTATGGGCAAACACAGCCGATGTTTAGTTTTCACAATGTCACAAGGGCTATGGGCGTTTTTCTGTCTTGTGCCATTTTAACTGAGGTATGTGTGCAGGAAACAGCATCAAGCTCTCCTTCAGGAACATCACCATCCGATCTTTGCTAGATGCAGACTGACTAATCATGTGAGGAGGACCGGGTTAGATTCCACAAATAGCACCCGGAAAATTGACTGCTCAAGATGTAATTAACCTGCCCACATTGGGTGAGGTATGATGGATCGGAATGTGACAGAGCAGTTGTCAGTAGCACTTCATTGTTGAAAATAGCACATCAAGTGCGTGGTTCTCATAGCCCGAGGGCAATGTTACTATTTAGAGATAAATACTCTCGAATTCTTTCTCTAGAAAGGAATTGCAGTCTTGTCTTGCTTGCACTGGCAGGAATGAATTCATAATCTGGCAGGACTGGTGCAGCAACTTCCACTGGAAGATGAAACCAGTCTGTCATACTTCATCAATGCATAAACACAATCTACTGAAAGAATCATAGAATCCCTGCAGTGTGGAAAGAGGCCATTGAGCCCATCAAGTCTTCACCGACCCTCCAAAGAGCATCCCGCCCAGACCCAGATCCCCATATTTACCATAGCTAATCCATCTAGTCACCACACTATGGGTAATTTAGCATGGTCAATCCACCTAACCTACACATCTTTGGACTGTGGGAGGAAACCCACGCAGAGACAGGGAGAACGTGCATACTCCATGCAGACTGTCACCCGAGGGTGGAATCGAACCTGGGTCCCTGGCACTGTGAGGCAGCAGTGCTAACCGTTGAGCCACCGCGCCAACCTAAAATAGTAAAGAGGAAAGGAAAGAGTAAAAGATTATTAGTTTGAATCATTTGGTAATGTGAATCCATGTTCGATTACTGTTTGATAGCTGGAGGTTGAATCCATCTAAATCCTGATAAAGGGTAAAAAAAAACTTGAAGAATTACATGGTGTAGTGAAGAAGACCTAAATATTTACCATCAGTGGTAGCAGGAAGAGATAAATGGGGCTGGTGTGTAAAGAGCTTGATCATATGGCACAAATGGGGTTGCACGCTGTAGAGTTAAGAACCAGGAAGTGAAGAGCGCAAAGGTTTCTGGAGAGTGACGAAGATATTATTCCTTGATGAATAAAAAGTGGCCAGGACTCTGGGGATAACGTTCTTGTTCAGTTTAGGAACAGGGAACAGGATCTTTCATGTTCACCTGAGAGGGCAGGTAGAGACTCATCTTAACATATCAAAAGGCTGATTAACATCATGTGATACATGAACAGGGTCACTTCACCATGTTAAAAGCAAAGTCATAACAGCAGAAGAAAGTAATCATTTTCCCTTTGCTTTGTATTAGTTGGTGCGTCAGTGTAATGAAGGAGCAAGGAGAATGGAGCGCACAGAGATGATGTACACTATCAACAGTCAACTAGAGTTTAAAATAAAGGTTAGTCTTTTGTTGTCTTTGAGTGCAGTTGAAGAGAGAGCACAGCAAAAGCTCCTCTCATTTTGCACATTCTAGACTGCTGAATTAAATAGTCTCTCCATTATATTTCATCTTTGTCTTTCCTTCACTCCCTGGCTCTCTGATTCACAAGAATCTGATTCCTTGTTTGGATGGCTCAACCAACTGGAATTAATTACCATTGAGTATGTGGTAGATGATTCCATTATTCAACAATTCTAAACAATAACGGTGTTAACATCAGATCAAACATAAAGGTTCGGAGATAGCAAGAACTGCCGATGCTGGAGTCAGAGACAACACAGTGTGGAGCTGGAGGAACACAGCAGGCCAGGCAGCATCAGAGGAGCAAGGAAGTTGATCTTTCAATCTGGGACCCGAAACGTCAACTTTCCTGCTCCAAACGTAAGGGTTGTAGAGAGAGAATAACTGAATTGTTTCTGTAAATGGGTGTGGGGCTATGGATCTCACTTGCATCAGGGTTCAGCACTGAAGGAGAGGTTATAAGTAATATTTAAGAATTTATTAGATACATGCTTAAAGGAGAGGCAGGTGACAGGCTATAGAAACAGCACAAGTACGTGGATTCAGCCTGCTGCTTGTGGAAAATAAATGCCAATATAGATTATTTATGCCTTTAGCTATCTATATACCATCCTTTCGAATTCTCTCCCTAAATCTCCCACTTCTTCCTCAAGACCCTCCTCAGAACTGGCCCCCTTTGATCAAGCAATTTCTGAAGAGCACCTTCTCAATGCTCAGTTGGAATTAATTTTCATTTTGGCGCTGTAAAGCACTTTCGAATATTTCTTGTTGATAGGTCATCAATATAAATGCTGGTTGTGGTATTGTTAGAAGTGAAGATGGCTTTAGTCATTCATACAGAAGAGCTGCCAATTTGCTCTTACCAATTTCACACCTCCTTCTTAAGGGCAGTCACCGGCATTACATAGATGCATGCAACAGGTAACTGGTGACACACATTTTCAAAACCACACAAGGTAAATGACCAGCTAATCTCCCTGTTTCTGGTGGCGTTTGAGAAATGAGAATTAGCCCACAGAATTCCTCATTCCTGTCTCAGTAGTGGCCATGGAACTGTTTGTACCCACTTGAACAGGCAGGTTGGCTGTTTATATCAGATCAAACCTTAAAGATGACATAGGTTCAACAATGTGACACTGCACTGAAGTGTTAGATTTGGCAGTACAGCCCTGGTGAGGGGTTTAAACCTTCAGTCTGTGAAGAATAGAAGTAGATCATTCAGTCCATCCAAGCTTGCTGTACCCCTCCAGCCCATTCAGTTAGATTGTGCCTCATGTGTATCAACTCCATCTCCCTGCCTTGGTTTGATAACCTTTATGCAGTTATCTGATAACTATCCAATGAGCCCTGATTGATCTGCTGCCAGCAGGACAATGTTCCAGAGATACTTCACTGCAAAGCAGTCTGCCTCTGATTTTAAGATTCTGCCCCCTCCATCAGAATTCACCCACAGGAGGAAATAGTCTCTCTTTATCCTCCTATTAACTCCTTTAATCATCTTAAACTAACTTAATTAGATACCCCCTTAATCTTCTATACTCATGGGATTACAAGTCTAGTCTATTCAATTTGTCCCCATAATTTTAGCCCTTGGAGACAAGGTCGTTACCAAGTGGGAGGCAAGCTAATGTTGAAAGAATAATCCCTTAAATGATCAGCCAGTCTCATTGCTCAGATGAATCAGCACCAATGACATTTGTCTCTGATGCAGGCATCATTTGATCCAAACATATTGGGTCAAGCCTAATTTCCATGTATTTGTTTCATGCTGCATTGAACATTGGTAAAACAGCTCTAATGATTCCACTCCACCACAAGTTGACTTCACCCCTTGGTGTAGATGCGTGGCATTTGCTTTTCCCAAACTCACCTATTTTCAAACTCATCTATTTCCTCAAAAATGTTTTGTATATGTTAAAAAAATACTTGTTTGCACGTTGACCTCCAAAAGCTACCCTGATCCTGACATTCAAACACACAGGAGTTGTCCAGTGTGCATTCCCAGGCCCAGATGGGGTTTGCTGTTGCGCCCTCAAGGATATTGCCCTGACTGAACTCTGGAGTCAGATTGTGAGGCCATTGCAGAGTGCTGGCAAAACAAATAAAATCAACTGGATAACAATGCAAACAGCTAAGAGGGGCAGGTCAGTTATAGGAAAGGCTAGATTCATGAATGGCCACACAAGTCAATGCACACATACATAGATTCCCAACCCCACACCACCACTGTGTGATAAGGAAATTCTTCCTCAGTGATCCTACATATTCAGTTTGAAGGCTGACAGACAATTTGTATCCGATATCATACTAAGGGCAAAGTCCCTAGGGCAAAAGGCCCAGCAATTATTAACCATTGGGTAATCTGTACAGCTTCTGGCTCAGGACATCATGCAACTTGGGGGCCACACAATTTTCTCTCTGTCTGAAGTAGGCACCCATCATTATAAGGCTTGCAAAAAGACCTCTGATTTATAAAACATCTTTAGATCATTTTTATATTTAGATTAAGTGCCTGTGCCTGAAAGGTTATGATCACACTCCTTTAGAAACATTATGTTAATGGCCCATTATAGAAAGAAGACAGAAATGCTGTCATTTAAATGACAACTTGAAATACTTCAATGTGCTTTAAACTCAATAAGTGCTTCTGATGTATAGTCACTGCTGTAATATATGGGAATACAAGAGCCAATTTATACATAGTCAGACCCCACTGACGCCAATGAAAAACTTAATTACATACCCTTTTCTGACAGATGTTACATGAACAATAAGGAAATTAGCTAAGATATCAGGAAGGGGCTTCCTATTGTCCTTTAAATTGTCCCATAGGACCTTTTGCACTCACCTGAAAGGGCCTCAGTACAATGTCTCATCTGAAAGATAGCATCCCTGACAGTCTGGCACTTTCTCAGAGCCGCATTGGATTGTCAGGCTGGCCTTTGTGCTAATCCTCTGAAATGGGACTTGAGTATGCAAATTTCTGACTTGGATCAAAGAATTGACGCATTTTAGTGGCAAATGAGTTGCTTCATTCAATCACTGATTTGCCTCATTGTCTGTCTCATTCTTCTCAGTTTTGGTGCTGTCCTGACCTTCACATCTTGGCATTCCTATTGGGTTTCTGAATTTGCCCACAGTAGCAACGTAATAACATACAAATTAGGAGTAGGCATTCAGTCCATTTTGAGCCACTAGGTAAGCTCATGGCTGATCTGCCTGTAATCATAAATCTACATTTCTGCCTACCTCGATAACCTTTTGCCTCAACAACACAAACAGAAGTTGCTGGAAAAGCTCAGCAGGTCTGGCAGCATCTGTGAAGAAAAAATCAGAGTTAATGTTTCGGGTCCGGTGACCCTTCCTCAGAACACAGAACCTTTTGCCTCCTTGCTTACCAAGAATGTATCCACCTCTGCCATAAAAATTTGCAAGGATTCTGCTCCACCATCTTTTCAGGAGGTGGCTTCCAAAGATCCACAACCCTTTGTGGGAGAGAGAAGAAAAATCACCTTATCTCTTTTTTAAATGAATGACCCTTTCTTTTTCAACAGTGACCCCTAGATTCTTCCATAAGAGGAACCATCCTCATCTAACTTGTCAAGATCCCTCAGGATCTTGTATGTTTTAATAAAGATGTCTCTGACTCCTCTGAATTTCACAGCACACATGCCTTGCTTGTCCAAAATTTCCTGGTAAAACAACCTGCTCACTCGAGGCATTACTCTGGTAAAATGCATGTTACAATTGTGTGGACTTTCTTTTTAACCAAATACACAGAGCAGATGCCAGTGCTGGTGATCCTAGTTTATTAAGGGGAAAAAAATCTATTTGTGATTGAGTTTGCAAGTGTGTTGAGATTAATGACTTTGTAGCATGTGATTTCCAACATTCATTGAAGCACTCATTGGAAAGACTTTCAAAATATTATTCTTGGCATTTAGTCCCACGCCTTTGCAATAGATGGGAAAAGATGAATGTTTAGATAAAATTAGATCACGAGGCACTTTGACAAAAAGAATGATTTAAAAGGGTGAAAAGAGAAATGGATGGAAAGAAATAGACCAACAGCAATTGTAATTGAACAGGTTAAGTCCTAGAACTTGCTCTGGCGTAGGAAGGAAAGACTCCTGGCACCATCTGACCATTTAGTCCATATCCAGGGAACCTCCCACAGTGGGAAGTGAGTGGGTTGGATTTTCAGACAGGCAAACCAGAATCAGATTAATCGCATTTTTTTTTATGTCCTGTTCGACTGAATATCTGTGGCTGTTCTGTGTCTGAGTGCACATATTTCATTGTCTGATGTTTCTGTGTCTTTGCCTCCTCAACAGAAATTATTTTATTCTTTCTTAATGTTTTTGATAAACTTTGTTCTGCAAAAAATAGAAGAACTTTAAAATTATCGATTAGTCACTCATCTGTGGGATGCATGCTGCTAGACCTTTGAGGCAGAAGAAGAAATTAAGTAGGCTGTTATAAGAGTATATTTGATCCTTGGTTTATTAACAGGGGAATAAAGTACAAAAGCAAGAAAGTTCTGCTAAACCATCATTAATAACTGCCGAGGCCACAGCTTGAGTTCAGTTTTAGGAAGACTATTAATGCTTTAGAGAAGTGATTTACAGAGATGGGATGATGATGCAGAGCTTTAGTAATGTGGAGACATAAAGCAAAGCTGGGGTCATTGAGACAGTTAGAAGAGGGATTTGAAGAGGTGTTCAAAATCACAAAAGCAGGAAAGAGAAACTGTTTCCAGTGATAAAAGAAGTCGGTAACCAAAGGGCTTGAGGTTTAAGACATTCACAAAAAAGTGAGGATTTTTAAAAAAAAACGGTGAAGAGTTATGATGGTCTGAAGTTTGTAGCAAATAGTAAGTTTAATAATAACTGGAATTGATTTAATATTTGCAGATGAAGGATATGCAGGTGTATTTA